TGAGTTAAATATGATCCATGATATCCGTATATGATAATCACACGCACGTATTTTCAGCAGATGGCTATATTTGTTGCTCCAAACGAGACATTCTGGCGAGCGCTTCAAAATCAGTCATCGAGTCGGCACGACGCATCTCGGGATATATGCCCGTGACGTCACGCTCGCAACATCATGGGTCCATACGAGACCAAGGGTATAGTAATTATGATCGTCGTCACTAGGTGGTGCCCGCTTTATCTTCAGCACGTTACAATTTTGCCAAGTGGGAATGCCCAAGGTACGGTGTACTAGACCTGAGTGTTGAGACCAGCGCCGTTCGCTCCCATGGCGTAGCTCCAGGGCCCGTTTGCTCGAACAGCTAACCGCGGCTAAAGTTAGCCGCAGTACCTAGGAGAGGGATTTTTTAGTCACGTGACTGGCTCGGTAGGGATACGGGGAGCTACGCATTGCCCCGTCGCGTCGTTCGACAAAATGGCTGCGGCGTACGCAGTTTCCGCGGTCGCGATCGCATTGGTGTTTGTCTTCAGAGCGATGATTTAGGTTCCGTGTTCTAAGTTAAGAGTGTACAAGTATCCTACGTGCGCCTTAAAGAAACTGACATTTCGAGGGGACTGCGACTGAAGTCGACGGCAGCAGCCCGTCGACAAACAGTGGCTCAGAGTCACCGATTTGTAGAAGTACAGTGGCCCGGAGTCGCCGACTGTCGAAGCTTCGCATCGGCTTCATTGAAGCACGGCAAGAATCATGCATCGCAGCGCCGAAATGTGGGATGCGTTCCAAGGAACACGATAGCCGAGTACGACAAGCGTTTTACGGTGAGCACCAAAACATTTCGCGATAGGGTTGTGATGAGGCCAGCCTCATACTCACGTTATGTTGAGCGCTGTGAAACTAACTTCAAGCAGGAGCAGGATCAGAATACGTTTATTGAAAGGAAGCATTACGGAGAGTTGCCTTTTGAGTAGCGATTGCGGTTTATTGAAAGTAGTCACGCCGGGAAAATTTCTGTTCAGGGTGTCCATTTTGTACAAAATCCTCGTATTCTGCTTACAGTGCGACTGCAGCTGCAGCATCAACCGTTCTGCAGATAAACGGCGGACAGAGGCTCAACGGTCCAATGGATTTTAGCAGTGATGAGTAGCAGAACTTTCTCTGGGTTTAGTGAAATGCTACGTTGTCCATAAAAGACCAGTGACCTGCCGATCGTTCAATTCACTCGCCCTCCAAGAAAGCCGGTACATGCAGTTTTTCCGAATCAACTCCGTTGTGCCGTCTGCGAAAGTTGTAGAACCGAGAAATAAACAATACTGAAGTTGTTGGAAATGCACTTGTTTGTTATTTCGCGTTGCTTCTGAAAAAATATTTTACGGTTAGCAGGAATAATGTTGCAATTGTGTAGATAAACAAACCAAGGTAGCAGACGATCATGCTCCTTCTGCAAACGAAAATGAACCGAGCGACTACCTCAAAGGGGACCGCGCCGCTGCGTCAAAAGAATTGGACCCTAGATGAAAAATTAGACTTAGTCCGGGAAGTTGAGGCTCGAAAATACCAAATCCTGGGAAAATTCGGCCCTACCGTGACTACTAAAACCAAAAGACGCGCCTGGGACCAAGTCGCCAATTCCATGACCCGCCGCCACCAAGTTCCGCGTTCAGTGAAACAGCTTCAAGAAGCATGGAGAAAATTACTTAAAAAGTGCCGAACTTTGTACAGATTGTACAAAGAACATGACCAACGGACAGGTAAGTTCCAATATTTGCGCTACAAAAACAGAAAAAAGGGCGATATTTGTAAAATCTTTATTGGAAACTTTGGGTGCACTGTACAAATTTATTAGAGAGTGATATATTAGCCCCTCAAATTTTTGGGGCAAATATCTCAACCGAAGACCCCATTCAATGCGCGACAACTAACATCTCGCTCAATATCATGAGAGGGCAAGCCCAAAGATTAATTAGCTCTTACTCGCACAAGTTTCAACACAGTGGCACTAACACAGAAATAGCCCCAAAGCACCTTGGATCCTGTTCCATGCAGTGGGCCTGCGTAATTTCTCAAAATTAATGTCCAAATTTTGCTTGCCAAAAACATTGTCTTTAGCACTGTAAACAATGTAGACACTATTGTTCAACTAAACACAGAAGAAAAATGTATGTAGGCAAGTAGCGTGGGAACAAGGGCAGGGGGGCTTCAGACCCCCTTCCCCTTCCCCCCCCCCCCCCCTTGAAATTTCAGACAGCTGCGGTAAACAATGCTGCAAAAGGGGGCGGGTTAAGCTCAGAGGCTCCGTCGCCCCTCCACGTTTCAAACACTTCCGACGCAACCGATTCAGGCACAGAGTGGGCCAGGCTAGCCGGTAGCTGGCAACAGTGAGTTTGCTGTCAAACAAAAAAAAAAAGAAATAAATTGTCCAACATCACATATTACCCGAGACCGGATAATAGGAACCTGAGGGTGAAAAAAAAAACGAAGGTAAGAAAACAATCTTATCATTATTGGCAATTACATGTTTACGCGTTTTCTGTTCATTCGCACATTGATACTATGTTGAATAATGAACACCCTGTCTCCCCTCCCCCACCTTTAATTGTGCTTACATCCTAGAAAACAAAATAAGTGTACTTCAATTCATAGGTGCTGGTCCCAACCCCCATCAGCTGACACCACTTGTCGAGACTGTTTTAAATGTGATCGGGGACGATTCCCCGACGATCTGTGGGATTGACGTCATCATCGGTGACACCGAAAAGTAGGTAACACTTTATAGGCCATGCTGTGTATGCTATGCTCCTGTTGATACTTTATACATTACAATACTAAAGTTGTAGGTATGAGCACGTGGCTTCGTCAATCACCTTACTTGTGCTAATTGAATGGCCCACCCTTACGCCTACAAGTTTGATATCGTTGCACACTGTATGTAGACTGTGACAATGGAGGCGATAGTACAGTGGAAGCTCTGCACCCAGTTACAGCTTACTAGCCCTGACAGCACAAGGATGCACAAGCAGCAGAAGAGAATGAGCACGCGCTGAAGGTGCATTCTTTTTCTGTTCTGCTCGTCACATTATGAGTACTTCCACAAGATGATAGTTATGAAACTGATGATAGGGATGTTCTGCTGTCACTGATGATAGGTATGAAACTGAGCAGAGACACAAGGCATATCAAAAGTCACCAATTGTTGGCATGCTCCTAGAAAACATTGATGAGCATAGGGAACAGTTTGGATTGTCATAAAAGAATATATTGGTTTTCCATCTCAAAGTAGACATGTCAGTTGCATAACACTACTGCTGCGTGCCCTTACATAGAGACCAACTTCATGAAGCAAAACGACAATATTAGGAGCACGAGTCAAAACCTGTCCAGTAGAGAACAGAACACAGCACAAGGACACTACCTTCACATATTTAGCCATTTCTGCACTGCTGAAAAAGTGCCAATGAAACCATTTATTAGGGTAAATGCAGTAAAACTCACAGTTTGAAACTATTTGTACCACAAAATTACAAAGAAATATTTACATCATAATCAACAAAGCTATGGTAGTCTTTCTCTCAAGTTGAGATCACCTATTTTCTTCAAAGTCAGGTCACTCAATACCCAAATTTTTCCACTGTCAGTGGAAATGTTTTTGCATGATCTTCGTACATGCCTGCTAACGTAGCAAAAATCCATTCTTTTTTGGTAACGCTTATGAGATTAAGTTGAGAATGCACCAATGACTTATTCGATGCTGATCTGTGCCAACAAAATCTGAAAAAGTATCAATGTCCCAGTTAGCCGGACAGTGCTTGGGTACACAATAATCACATATGACGGCTGGTGTGAGTGTGCCACATCTACTTGTTTTAAATCTTGTACAAATGTCTATGTGGCGACTCTACCAACCGCCAATGAAACAAAGTTGCGGGGTTAGGCACTCCAGTCTGTTGTACCACCAACATATGTGGTAAAATTATGACAAGTGTTACTGTCACATCTGGATTAAGGTTGCCGCACGTTGCACTCAGTTCTCCCACACATATATGTACCCTGATCCAGGGTGACGTCAAAAATGTCATGCACTGCAGCCCTCATGCATCACTTGGAGAGATAGAGGACGGAGAGAATCATGTCACGGAGGACGTACGTGCACGAGTATGGTGTCTAGTCACAATCCTTTGCTTCAATGCTCTGAGCAGCTCTCTGGAGCTGTAGCCCTTGCAGTTTGCTAAGTTATGCTGAAATTTACAAGTTCACTCCTGCCCAACAATAGCCCTCTGTGAGCTGCCATTTTTCTCACTGCGCATGCTCGGAACACGTCCCGAGCATTAACTTTATGCAGGACAATATTGTACCTCGGGCTGCCATCCACAGCCAGTCAGTGACCTGGGTTTTTAAGTTTGCTGATAATCGTTGTAAAGGCTTATGCGTTAAAGGGATACCTCAACGAAATTAAAAATATACCCGTCGTGTTCAAAAATAGGTTGAATATGATCCACTGTATCCCTAAATGACAATCGCACGTTTGTATTTTGAACCTGGTGGCTATAGTTTTCGTTACAAACGGCCCACCCTGACAAGCGCTCGGAGAACAGCCAGCGGAGAGCATGTGACACCCAACGCAATCGTGACGTAGTTCGTCTCGGGACGAGCAAAGCTGCGACGAGGCTGACGTCGAGAGGATGGCCTAGTCGTTCCAGCCACCAAAGCGGCTGCTTTTGTACGAATTTTGAGTGAAGGGTTAATCTTTTATAATCTTGTAGGGGGACAATAGCAACTTCTGGGACATACAAAAAGGATTCTTTGGAAGAGGAGAGTTCCTCCTTCCCCTCTTCTATTGTGGTAGCCGGAGGCGAGACAGTTACCGTCACTAGCTGTCAAGGTTCTTAGACTGGCATTACAAACGAGGCGTTAGCGACATCCACCTGGTGCTCTTTGCCAATCGCTTAATTCGTTTTAAAATTCCTTTTCGTGACTTTTTTAACAAGATATTGTTGTGTTCGATGTGATACTGCTCCTTCGAACACATATAGACCAAAAAATGAAACCCGAAATTTTGTTGTAGTATCCCTTTAACCTCAAACAATTTCCTGGTCATGCGTGTCACTACAGCAGCTGCACGGGAAGGGTGACGACGCCGCCACCCTCGTCATCTGGCAGCAGTACAGTTGAAGACGACGCAGCACAGAGAACACTGGCCTCTCCTGTTGTGCAGCACAACCAGCGCTGGACCCGTGAGGCTGCACAGCAGTACCAGAGAAGGGCCGAGCGACAGCAGGATCTGGAGCATGAGAATATACTCCTTGAGAGAAAGTACACAAATGGGGCCATACAGGCTGCAAACGCAACCCTCGCTGCAGCAGATGCTGCACGGAGTTTCTATGCTATAGGGGAGGAAGTGCTCAGGGAGCAAAGAGAACTCATTAGACTTGAAACCACCCGAGCACAGCTGCAAATTGAACTGATAAAAAGACAATTAGGACAAGATTAACTCATGTAATGAGCTACTTGCATTGTTTGTCGCTGTGTTGTATACATATTTTGCGTTTTTTCTGACCTACATACTTGGTTGCACGATTATAACGCTCACATTTTTTTTGCCAAAATGGGTGCCTAAAATTAGATGCACTTACAATTGAAACCAAAACTCAAAAGAAAAACGCAAGGCAGCTAGCCCAATCGCCTTTGTGACCGTTTGTTTACATTAGATATTTTGGTATCCGTATCGCGCGTTCTTTCGCCTTTATGTCATCACACTGACGGGAAACGATAACCACGGAGCGACACTGCGTAGCCTCGCAATCCCAGCGACCCAATGAGCTCGCGAAGTGTTGTATGAAAAAAAAAAAGTGAAGGCCGTTTACAACTCTGTAACGCCGAATTAGAGCGCAGCTCTTGAGGAGGAGTAGGGAAGGGTACTGAGGGGGAGGGGGGTCACGTGACCTCGGCGGGGGGGGGGGGGGTCACGTGACCCCCAGGTCACATGACCCCGCAGAGAAATTTTTCCGCTAGGTTTAGCGGACAAATTTTTCCGCTAGATTTAGCGGGGAATTTTTTCCGCTAGATTTAGCGGGGAAATTTTTCCGCTAGATTTAGCGGGGAAATTTTTTCACTAGATTTAGCGGAGAAATTTTTCCGCTAGATTTAGCAGAGAAATTTACCCATCATGCACCGGCGGTTACGACGACGGCGACGGCGACGCCGCTCAAGCCGGAAACGAGCGCCTAAGAGCTGCACTTATGGGTGTTCAAAGTGCATTACTTTACCTGCGCGGTAGAATCGGCAGCAATTAAATTTTTCGATATCTGGGAGCTAAAATTGCCTGCATGTAAGTATCGGGGCCACGTTAGAATCGTGCAAACATGGTATGTTTGACACTTCATTTATTTTATGCATGCTATCTACAAGGGAAGCTTGCACACAATCTTTTCCATGTCGTTGACTATCCCTACACTAGACCAGCGTGGTTGTTCTGATCGCAATATTTTACGCTGTGGTTAAGTAAGCAACAGAATATCATACTGGCAGTATGGCACCCAGGCTTTCGACGCCCCAAAGGTGGCACATAATTTACATGGATACCTAAAATAAAAATATGGGTTAAGCTCAAAGGCAGATGTATAATTCCTTCTTTCCTATATCCCTTCACATGTTTCCCTTTCATAACGCGGCTCCCCGTCACAGCTCAAGAGAGGAGGTCGCCAAGACGATTAGCCTCCCCGCAGAAGACCAAGGTCGAGTTTCTGTGTTTTAAGAAAATGTTCGAGTCATCGATGAGTGGACCACAGACACTTTCTGACTTGCATCTGCAAATATTCCTTCTGCTTTTAAGATAAAGGCTTTTTCTGCCTGGATATGCTCCTGCGACCTATGGACTGCGTGCTGCTTATGTACGAAAAAGTTCATACTAAGAATATCCCGAAACTCAGGAACAGAAAAAGGGATCAAACACAACACTACATCATTTTGTTGCGTGTGTCACCTTTTGGGGCCCCGGGTCTTCAACTCTTATTACTTTGAATCGTCACCACTTACCTTGTTCTTTAAGTATTTATTTATTTATTTATTTATTTATTTATTTTATTTAAAGAGTACCTTCATCGCCTCGAGGGCATTATTGTAGGAGGGGTGGGAAATAACACACATACATAAAAACACAAAGTGATCACTTGTCCGCACGGAATAGATATACAACCGAGAAAAAAATACACTGTTATCCAACACAACAGTTTTTTGGAGCTGAAATCTACTTGCTGCTTGTACGTAGGCTCGCGATAATTCGAACTCGGATATTTCGTACTTCCAGTTATTTCAAACAGGTTTAAAAATTTTGGTTGTCCCGCTAAGCTTTTTTATGTATTTATAAGCCACTTAATTCGAATGGCGTTTTCGCTTAATTCATAGTTTTTTGCTCTCGCGGCCCTGTTGAGTGCGCTTCTTTCCGAGCACCGCTGCACCGCAGAGAAGCAATACCTGCGGAGCTTGCTTTTGCGAGTGTTGCTTCTCCGCAGTGCACCAGTGCTCGGAAAGAAGCGCAGTCAACGGGGCCGCGAGAACAAAAAACTATGAATTAGCGAAAACGGCACACATGAACGGAAAACGGCGTTCAAATTATGTGCTTCAAGACTAGCAATGATGACCAAGACGACAACGAGGACGAGGCACAGCTCACTGGCATCATGATTTCTGGCCTTGAAACACGTAATGTGAACGCCGTGCAGGCGAACTATATTAGTCTTGACGACGATGTGTGTGTTTGTCATGATGACTCATTAGAGGACATAGTACGGAAAGTAATGCCAGCACAGTGCAGCAGTGACAGTGAAGATGACGATGAAGAAATGGATGACCCACTACGAACTGTCACAGCCGCAGAGGCCTTTGAGCACATCGCTCAGCTCCGGAAGTTTCTGTCTGCAAAGGAAAAGTTCCGTAAAGAGCTGCTTGCGTTGGCTGGCATTGGAAATTTTGTTTTGAGATCTCATGTGCTGACTAAACAGTCCACAATTGACGACTTTTTTGCCGGATGAATAAACTTAGTCACAGTTCTTTCACAAATGTGTTATGCCTGTACTTGCTTATAGTTATGCATTAACTATAAGCAAGCTATTGTGCTATGTAGAGGAAACTGGCCAAAATCTGCTTTGTATATATCGCTATCCATGTAACAAATCATAATGTTCTCTAGTATCATATATATCCAACTAAAATATGTGACTTTCTGGAGTTTGAATTAATGAGAGTGTAGTATGTACAATAAAGCTCCTCTCTGGACAATGCCCTACTAAAAATAAATGTTTTGCAAATGATGTTATCATGCCAGCCAGGATGAAGAAAATATGAACTAACCCTAGGAGGTTTGTGAAAAATAAGAGAAAAGCTTTGCGGGTTGGAAAAACCTGTGAAAGGTGTTATGACTCAACACTCAGAAGCGTACACTATGTAAATCCTATGAGCTAGTAACCATGAGTATGCAGTGAAAAATGAACATTCTATGGGGTAGTATATATAATTTGTACTGATAGCTTTGAAATTGGTATCAAATGAACATTGTTTCACTATACTCTCCTATTCATGCTCCTGTACCCATTAAATAGTATCGGTTTGTAGATATTGAATGGGAAAATAACTGTCTTCTTCAGTTGCCTCATTATAAACTGTGCACACATAGTCTGTTATAGGGCTGACTTCAGCACTTCCCATAAAGCATCCGTCGGTGTGGGAAATGTATTACAAAAAATAATGACAGTATAAAAAGAGAGCTCCAGAGAGTGCGAAGAAGTGCACAAATTTGAAGAAGCATCCCTCGTGTCATTAGTTAGAAGTTTGAAAAGTGCATTGTTATGAACTCCGGAAATCAAATTCAAAATCTATTAGTTTAAGAGAGCCCGTGTGTGCCTATGCTTGTAGCTCTGCGAGAGTGCAGGAGTTGATGGGGAGGAGACCAAAGCAGTAACAAGCAGTTGAGCTGCAGCGTGCGATTGCAGGAGTGTTGGACATTGCACTGCACTCCCGTTTGACCAATAGCTTCGGCAGGGATTTTTTTCGAGCACACTCTTTCCAACGAGCTAATTATAAGTGCCTCAAATGACACATTTCGAGCTTTGTAACAATAATGCGGGAAGTAAGAAAATTTTTTTTCATTACTTATTTCGTCGCTCATGCTGCAATTTACACATACTGCTATGGAAGCAACAGGTATAAGGGGATGTCCATCAATCATTCTTTACATTTCTATCATCCAAATTTCGAAACTCTATGTGGGGTATCTGCAAGCACTACCCGAATTGATCTGTGCAAGAGTGATATATGCATTGCTGGAATGTCATTGTCATGTTGATAACACACTTTCAGCATTGTCACATGTGTCACACTCCTTTATGGGTTATTTTGGGTAGAACTTATGATAATCTTACATCCAGTTAGATCATACAAAAAAAGCTTAAAATAAAATTAATCAATATCTCAAAGCTGTTGGCTTCTTGCTAACTGTGCAGCACGGTTGAGCCCCTAACTGTTGCAGTTTCCAAAAATACAATTGATGTTTAAGTAGCAAAACAATAAATATTATTTCAAGCAATTATTTGATCTAGTTAGACAACTGTCTGACATAATTTTCTTATAATTATCTGCAAAGCCTGATAAACAAAAGGTGAAAGCAATAGCCACGATCATAACAAAGCATCTTGCATTAGAAATGGACAGCCAGAAGATACCTATCCAGACACTTACACTTAGCCGAAGAAATGGTTGACAATAAAGTCTCGGGCCTCGTTGCTCTCAGCACGGTTGGCTGCTACGGGCTCAACGGGAACCTCAGCGGGGATGGCGGCCACGGGTGTCCTGCAGGGGTACCTCTTGGCCAGGTTGTGGAGGGCACAGCACGCGACAATGATGTCGCAGCACCGTTCTGGAGCCATTCGGAGCTCAGCGTGAAGGCAATGGAACCTCCGCTTGAGTTGGCCGATTGTCCTGTACAGAGCGCATGGATCAAAACCACATGTTATTCCTTCCCAGAAACCCAATAGCAAAATCGGACAACAGCGTGGAACGCAAATACTCAAGAGGATGACACGCAACAAGGACAAATTTACAGCTGAATTCGAATCGCAAATTGGCTGCTGTGCCCGATATCACACCTCCTAATTTTTCCAGCCCAAGCTCCAGCCCATTGCTCCAGGATATCGAAAGCTGGGCATTATGCATACCATTTTATTTTCCTTCCGAATTATTTTTACACTGCGTTCACATCCGGGGTCACCTGAGGTTAGCCTGTGCAATGTATTTTATAGAAAGCAACAAGCAAAGTGCAGCTTTATTCAAGCGCTATCCTCAAAGGGTTTCGTGGATATGCTTCCAACCAAACACCTGCATATGCACAGGCCAATATGTTAGAATTTTTTGCTACCTGATTGCTGCCAACGCTGTAAGAATTAACTTGTAACCAAGCTTTATACTGCAACAAATACAGTACCATCAAAATTTCATTCTACATGTTACTTGTGAGACAGAGTGAAAAGAGAAAGAGAGCCAGACTCTTGTCTTGTTGAGCCTTTTCCCTTCCACTCTCCAGGAATAGATGTTCGTGGTAGCGCAACCCATCTACTTTTGTCATTGATCAATAAGAATCCGTCTTGTAAGTCTGGGAGATGTAAAACGTAAAGCACTTGATATAACGCCTTATCCAAGTACTCCTACCCTTTGATTGTGCCGCTAGTGTTCCTATTAGTTAGTGGTTCACGCACCGCCATTTCTGACTCAAGTGGAAGCTCCTGGACGCATGCAGCCAAAGTTTTGGTAGAGGGTCTTATGGCGCTTTCACAACGGAATCCCAAGCAAGATTTGCCTGAACATTTGAGATTGCAGCGACTCATCATCAGTCGTGAATGACGTGTAAGATGGTGTCTAGAGACTATTTGTGGAAACTTGTTATTGCATGCTCAACTTCAACATTGTCCAAAATGATGCCTTGGCACTACTCTTAAATCCATCGATGAGAGCAGAATAGGTCATGCTAGGCATGTACTCTTGGCCAATCGGTCAAGACGGTCAGCAACACACAATTGTTTGCGACTTACACCGATGTGCCGCTATTTTTGGATCACACGCATCTTAGCACGCACGAGCTTAGCTGTACTTGTGCACTCAATATGAGTACATACATATCTAGCACGTTTAGTTAGTTTTCATTAAACAGCCCGAAACTGACATTTCAAAAAGTAGACATATGAAAGTGCCAAGGCACAGTGTTACTTCCACTGCTGTGTCTAGGAAAAAAATTCCATTGTCATTAATGCTTCTTTTTGTCCAATTAACAAAATATCAACTTCTGTCCGGGTCTTGCGTAGCACTGGCACCTGAGGTGAGTTTAGTGCTTTTCCCCATTATTGCCAGTCCTGGGGACCTAAGACATAACTGAGTTTCTGCATTTTCAGTCTCAAGCGATAAAACCCAATAAAGTGTGGTGAGGTAAGTTTCGAAAGTTTGATTTTAAACCTAAATGGTCAGTACTTTAGACCATTACAGGTGCATGTGACCGAGTAAACAGAGTATAGAAGCATGTGACCGAGTAGTCAACTATCTTATCTCCGTGCTTTCAAACTATTCTGTTGGAAGCACACTTTAGGAAGTATTTGGGTTTGTCATCGATGCAATTTGCGTTCCTTTGTCCATCAAGTTTGCTGTGGTCGTCTAGAGGGCGGATTTGGAGCGTTTTCATTGTTTGTCAAGCCATTTGGTCTTACTTTTGTTCTGGGAGGAATGGAATGTCATTCTGTTCCTATTGTAGGGAGCATAAGAAAAAAACCAAAGCTGTTTAAACAGCCTCTCTCAAGGTGCTATCTGGTTAGAGGAAAGCAGCTTTAATAGTCCTCCACATGTGAAGAACAAAGAAGCGTGCCAAGAATTACGTTTGCAAATTTTGCGATTAAGAATTTGTCGTCACAGCACATGTATAACCAAGGTTACGTTTGCCTTGTCCGCAAGTGTTGCCGCTTGACGAATAACTCAGATATGAACCTAATCTACTGCATTCTCGACAAACCTGCTTGAAAAAAAACGTAACTGGTCAATAGATATCGACCGGAAAAAGGCAGTAAGCTTTCGACTAAAAATATTCATCGATAAAAACTGAAAATTTCATACTCACAATAACAACCGAAAAAAGTATGCCGATTCCAGAAAAATAAAAACTGAAACCGCAGAACCATAGGCAGCTATTATAAGTTGTATTGATTCGTAATCTCAGGATACTACTTTCATCTTGCTTACATAAAACCACGGTACCTTATGCTTCGTTAGATTAATATAAAAATTTGTATGCATATTTTTATGCCATAAAGAATAGCAACAGACGTAAGGAGCATGCACGTGTTGCACATATTACGTCAAGACAGCTAGTCGTCTCGAAATGTCTTGCATGAATATCTCTGTGCCCTTCACAATATATGGCCTAGATTTACCGTTCAACAATGCTTCTTGTCGTCGTGTGTGCCGTATTGTATGCGACCTCGGCTGCTGATGACGGCGACAGGAATGGCGTCATCAGCCAAGGTTGACAGGAGTAGCCGCTGTCACCAAGCAGCAGGCCGTCGTACTCTCCACTGGCCAGCTTGACTGCCAAGGTGCTCTCCGTGAAGATCCGAGAGTCGTGGGTGCTTCCAGGCCACCTTGCAACCACGTTGCGAATCCGAGAAGAGGCGTCAACGACCACCTGTACGTTGATGGAATGGTATCCATGGCGGTTGACGTACGCCTCCTCGTGCACATGGGGTGCCTGGATCCGGACATGGGTACCGTCAACAGCACCCACGACCAAAGGAAAGCCGGCCATGTCGTAGAACTTGTGCTGCAAGGCTGCCCCCTCCGCAGCGTCAGGCCATCTGCGTCGTTGATCCCCTCAGCAATTAAACCACATATAGTAAACTTACAGCTACAATGCTTATGAATACCTTTTTAATGAGGAATGCTAAGGACTTTGGCTGTGCCCTTCAAGTTTGTGGTAGCAGTAAAGTGCCTCAGTAGCACCTGTTCAATAGTGAAGTTTGCATGTTTTCATAGGATCCCTTTTTATTTTTGTTCAGTTACCAAGACCTATAAAGTGACTGTGATTCGGTGCAAGTCCTTACCAAAAGTGCAAACGGGTCGCTTTCTGAGGTTTCTCAGAAAAATGGCGTGCCCGGGCCCTTTCCAATCGGGCAAGTAGGACGCTTACGGCCGTAATCATTTTTTTTTCTATTGAAAAGGGGGGGGGGGGGGGGGGGGAGGAGGGAGGGCTAGTTACTAGTAGGTAGAATATTACTGCCATAAAAAGGCAACCTACAAAACATCCCTATCACCAGCAATTCAGATATATTTTTAGTGTATTTACTTTACTTCAATACGGCTGGCAAACTACAATTAAAAGGAAAAAAAAAGGACCCTTACCGTATGAAGTCTTGTGCTCGACGAGCCAGCGCTACGGTGACTTGCCTCACAGCCCGTGAAGCACTTGACACATGCACGCGGATGTAGTCGCCTGCAGTGATCAGAAAGTTCCCAGTTGCGTAGAACTGCAAGGCGATGATCACTTGCTGCTCCGCAGAGAGGGCGCGGCTACGACGTGTACGGCGCTCCAAGTCCGGACGCAGTGTGTCGGCGAGAAACATTATGCCCGCTCTTCCAAATCGGAACCGTTGCTGCAGCCCATCCTCGTCGAAATCCTCAAAGGGGTTCAGGCGGTCCCGCAGCACACGCTGTCGCCTCATCATTGCCGCTGCGTACTGCGCGTCCGTGCGGTCTCTTCTGTGTCGGCGATTCCTTGCGTTGGACATTCTGCCCGGTAGCAAAGTCGGAAATCGGTCCGCAAATCTTATCAGTCAGTCCGTGGCCGGTCGGAGGGTTTGTCGGTGGGTCGGTCGGTCGAAGGGCAGAATACAGACAGGAAAACTCAGATGATAACCGAAAACGAGAAACGCGCGTTGCGTGCAACGAGGCGAAACTGGTTGTATAAACAAACGCCGTGCACGCGACACGGCACACACGGCGTTGCCAGACTTGGAAGCGACGGTCGACGCACTTGCTTTTTGCAAAACACGACAACAGAAAACTGCAAAGCACTTTGACTGTGTCTTGTCTACGCTTCCACACTTCGAAAGAAAGAATTTCGATGCAAAAAAGAAACTATCCTTTTTCTTTTCAATTGAGCAAACGTTTCTTGCAAGTTACAACTAGATTTAGCCGAAAACGGTTCCCATAAAGCAAACGTTGTATCATAAAAAAATAACGATTTATTTTTTTCAGCACAAGGTGGCGCAGGCTCCAGCCCAATAATAAAGGACGGATTTGTTTTATGTCCAGCCATTAAAGTTTCGTAGTAGGTACAACGTAGGTACAACTAGGTACTTTCGGTACCTACTAGGGACTTTGGCCAACGCTAACCGCGGTTAGCTCTTCGAGCAAACGGGCCCTGATGGGCCCGTTACGTGAGACATTCCAACAAGGCTCTGACCTCAACTACCAGGTGGTATTAGCAAATTGTTTCATTTGTTTTAATATTGCTTTTCTTGCATTTACAGACAAAAGACTGCTTTTTGTGAGCTGCTGTCATGAAGGAGATCATGTCTACACAAAGAAATAGGCGCTAAAATTCCGCTTCCGTACCCCATTAAAGCAGAACGAAAAACTACTGCTCTCCCGTTCTTAATATTTTTTTTACGTTAGCTATAGGAGACTACAATAATAAAAATATCCAGAACACGACGCTTATCTTCCAATACACACAAATAGTCAATGAAAATTGATAATGAAAAAAAAAACAAAAAAACTTCATATCCGAGGAAAGTTAGTCAAATTTGAGATAGTTGCAGTCAGAGGAAAATGTCAGCTTAACGGCTGCTGTTGAGTTCACAGGCATTTATGATAAAAACGTTCCCTTAGGAGAAAAACCGAAAGAGAAACAATTAATTTCACAGCACTGCGATCAACCGAAAGCACCCGTCTTGAACGGAGGAGATGCCAGCTCCTCTGCGTACGGGCAGCCGTTGATGAAGCTCCGTGTCGCGTGCTGGTGCACGCTGGTTCTTCGGCATAGGGTTTCGAGCGAGGAGGCCAATGAAGACAGCGGCCGTCTTGTAAACACCAACTTCTTGGGAGGCCGGGGCTTGGTGTCCATCTTGCGCGCTGACTATATTCCATTCATCCCTAAGCTGAGACTGCGGTGAAAGCTACGTCCTCAATGGACCAGTCATACACCCCTTTTTCACCACGTGATCACGCTCCCGCTCATACCCACACACCGAGGACTGGGTCAGGTGATGAAAGGAAGGCGGCTGATTGGTTCGGTGGGCACGTAGCTCCCACTGCAGTCTCAACTCAGAGCCGTGTGTAGGGAGAGTTTGGTCAATGGGAGGCGCGGGCAGAGCCAGTGCGTGCACCAGTAGCAGCAAGTGGGCTTGACATTTTCTCTTGGCCAACCAGAAGCCGCAAAAAAACCTTGCAGTAGTAGCGAGAAACTGTTGTAATCATATGTATATGTTGGTATATGGTTTCAATAAGCGCGTAAGTGTGAAGTGTAGTGACTTTCCATGGTTGAAAATAGGGTGCACGTGATGTTGCGATCATGATCATGCAGAAAGATGTAAAAAGCAAATGTGTCACACAACTCTGTTTTGCTCGGAGAGAGTGTGACCGCTCGGACGGTAGATTCCCGGCCCTCGGCGCTTGGGGTGCGGACTATGTCGAGGGGGGGGGGGGGGGGGGGAGGGGGTTAGGGGGTTCTGACCCCCCCCCCCCCCCCCCCGAAATTTTTTTCTGGGTACGGCCCTGGTCGGTGCACTTGCAGCCAGCCGATTTTAATCTCCACCTCTGCGCACGCGCAGTGGCACCGGTCGGCTACCGGGTACCAAACCGGGACCGGTTCTTCGGTTTGCTATACCTCTCCATTATATGCCACCGATGCACATGATTCATAGGCGAAAATAAGACAAAATGGCCGCCGTTGTTCCCGAAACCCCCCCCCCCCCCCCCCCCTGAAATTTTTTTCTGGGTACGGCCCTGTACCGGCGTGCGGCCGTGCATCACTACTGCGTGGTGTGCGTTAAAGACCCCAGGCTAGCGGTTGCACCGCACTGGCTAAATTGTTCATCTACAGCTGAGACACCAGACGCCGACTGAGGCAGATTAACTTCCGGCTGTATAAACATACACACAGCAATCTGCTTTGCTTGCAGACTCGTCCTCTTAAGCCGGGGTCACACTGCTCATACCATTATACAAAAGACAGTCTGCAAACACGAGTCACCACAATATCCGTGGTTCGAATGCCGCAAGCTTAAGTTTTCTCCTCGAACACATTGCCTTGCGGCATTCGAAGCAAGGAGCTAGCAGTGACTCGCGGTCGATTCTGTATGCAGACTGTTTTTTATGTGATGCATAAGCAGTGTGACGTCGACTTGAAATACATTTAAAAATTTCGGCTGTTTCTTGAAATGTAAACACGAACAAAACAGAAAGACTTTAAGAAGGAAAGAAAAAAGGCGGTAGCCGAAAGGCCAGCCTAAACATGTATTTACACGTAAACAACGACTGTTTAGTCCTTAAACATACACGCTCTCCTGGACACGTTATCCGGAGGACGATTAAAATACTACGCTGAATTAGAGCTTTGGATTGGGCTAGAGTGTTCATTGTGATCTAGATGGCTAAAGCGGGCAAAAAAACACGGAACAAGAAGAGACACATGCAATACGGTCTGCCGCTAACTTTCAACTGATTTAGTCAAGGCAAACAACCCAGCACACATGCGTAAACACTCTTTCCCATCATGCCAACCACATCTGATCAAAGCAACCCATAAACACAAAGAACAGATGGCAATGATTTAAACATTCATATCAGTTCAACGAAACTACACAAAACCGTCTAGGCAAAAAACTTCCTTGTCGTATAGTAAAATCGATGGCGTGTAGACGTAGTTGTCACCTGAGAACTTTATAAAATACGCTTTAACTAGTTACCTCTCAGTCTTGTTATTTGTTGTTTTAATAAATTTGGTTAATTCTAACATACGATCACACCCGCACCACATGCAGTGAACTGCAAGGTGCCCCCCCCCCCCTTCCCCGCTTTGTTATGAACCGCTAGACGATGTTCACGCGCCCTTTCGTTAAAACACCGTTTGTCAAATATACCCACGCCCGCACCGTTAGCGGAATCTCGTAAACAACAGGGGCAGACGCTGTGTACTGAGTGACTTGCTTCTTCGAGAATTGAACACGTTTCTGTCTAGTCATCAGGGTACAAATTTTCGTCAGCTTGCATGGAGCAGAAAAAACAACATTGACATCGTAATTAATTGCAATTTTTTAAGGTTATGCGACACCTTGTGTTAATAAGCTAACTCTCGAACTCTTCACTTTTTATCTTGTTCTCGCTTACCGTCCCCTGTGTTGCCTTTACTTTTGATATTTTGTAGGAGCTTTTCACACACGCTGGCAATCACGCAGGCGGTGTAGTCTGCCTCGTCTAAGCCCTCTACCTGAAGGTCAAAGCTATACTTCGTTTCAGCTTAGGTACGAGCGCGGCAGATGTTATGAGCCGAAGGGCCAATCAAACAGCAAAAGAGGCACAACGTCATGGCGTGCTTTCTGCAGTTGATAGGACCAGCCGGTATTCACCGTTATTGAACAAAAAGTAAGGGCGCAAACGAGCTGGTGTACATTGCACATGGTTGAAAAAACCCCGAGACTGCGGGTAAACGACACAACACTAAAAAGTCTCTAACACAGCTGAAATTTTTATTTTCCAAACCTGGTTATATAGGCACTTCGATACAAAAGAAAAAAGGGGGAGAGGGTGAGAACCTCAAAGAATGCCACTTTCCACCAACGTAACCTCTTGACTAAACAACAAGGACAACAGACTCTACGTCACGCACTTCACTTATCTTTGACCCCTCGCTACCGCCAAACACACTGGTAACCCCAAGCCCAGTAACACATATACAAAAAAGAAAAAAAGAAAAAGAAAAAGGAAAGAACGACCCATCGTCCCTTCTACCCGAAAACCGACAGACATAAACCTTGAAGGTCAGAACTTTTCACAGCCTAAGGAAACGCCGCAGTTCATTGTCCAACCCAAACGACGGCTTATTAACTGCATTCCCGTGACCTAATATCGTTAATGACTCTTTTATCAACCGCTTATGATCATCTTTTTCCCGCAACTCTACTGAAGTTAGATGCCACAACGGTACACAGTTTCTACATTCGATAACATGTTTTGTCCCGACCCGTACTCCGAAGTGTCAAAGTGCCAAGACCCGTACTCCGAAGTGTCAAAACATGTTATCGAATGTAGAAACTGTGTACCGTTGTGGCATCTAACTTCAGTAGAGTTGCGGGAAAAAGATGATCATAAGCGGTTGATAAAAGAGTCATTAACGATATTAGGTCACGGGAATGCAGTTAATAAGCCGTCGTTTGGGTTGGACAATGAACTGCGGCGTTTCCTTAGGCTGTGAAAAGTTCTGACCTTCAAGGTTTATGTCTGTCGGTTTTCGGGTAGAAGGGACGATGGGTCGTTCTTTCCTTTTTCTTTTTCTTTTTTTCTTTTTTGTATATGTGTTACTGGGCTTGGGGTTACCAGTGTGTTTGGCGGTAGCGAGGGGTCAAAGGTAAGTGAAGTGCGTGACGCAGAGTCTGTTGTCCTTGTTGTTTAGTCAAGAGGTTACGTTGGTGGAAAGTGGCATTCTTTGAGGTTCTCACCCTCTCCCCCTTTTTTTCTTTTGTATCGAAGTGCCTATATAACCAGGTTTGGAAAATAAAAATTTCAGCTGTGTTAGAGACTTTTTAGTGTTGTGTCGTTTACCCGCAGTCTCGGGGTTTTTTCAACCATTCACCGTTACTCTGTGCGTGCTCCTCTGCCGGCTAGTTCTACAAAGCGCAGAGAGCACGCCATGACGCTGCGCTTTTTGCGCTGTATGATTGGCCCATCGGCTCATAACATAGGCCGCGCTCGGTTCGTTTCAGCTGACCTCAGCTGAAACGAAGTATAGTAAGTCAAAGCTTGATGGGGGGGGGGGGGGGGG